AGCAGAAGTCTTCCGAGGATGATGCACATACCAAGGAAACTCTAGAGGATAACAACGATGAGAAAGAACAACTTCCCGAGCACCAGCGGCAGCGGGAGAAGCAGCAAGATGGGTTTGTGTGTGATGATCGTCTTCGCATTGCTGCTTTAGAGCATGAGTCAAACCACGTGTCTATTGTCAAGCGTTTGCTGCTATTATCCGAGTCTGAACTCACGGCTGAAGCGCATGAATTGTATACGCACAGGAGTGATATTCTGGAGATGATAGAAGCAACATCAAATGCATCATTAAATACAACAAATGCGAGTGAAAAAATATCAAAAGGAGTGCTTCTGTTAATATGTCTTCTTTTACTTATTTTGGTGGCAGTTGTTTGTTTTGCTGCTATGGCGTATTGTTATTATAGTGCGAAACCAGCATGTTGTAATCGTCGCGAGTGTGAAAAAGATTTATTAACTGTAGTAGAAACAATAACACCAGAAATGATGCGGTGGAATTCAGCCCGTGATCTTTTGCTACTTGATACTCTTGATGCTCGTTGCTCAGTTTTCTTTTCTGCGGCGAGTACCTCTATTTCTTATTTTGGTGCTCTTTCTGCTGCTCGTTCTGCTACTCTGCGGTGGCAGCCTAAGTGTCTTGCAAATGTAGTTAATGCTTATTTTCATACTTGTGAGATGTACTATGTAGATTTGTTGAGGGCCATAACTTCACGTGAGTGCATTGAAGAGGAGTTATATGTAAAGGACACACTACACATGTATACAATTCACAAATTGAAACAGGAACAAGAGTTGCAGAAGTTACTACTACAGGAAGAAGAGGAACGCGCTACACTGAAGTTCAATGAGACAGAAGAGGTGAGTAATGTGTGGAAACACATGGTAGTGGTATTACAGTTACAATTGCAGCAGCATTACTATCAACAACAAAAAGAAGAGAAAGAGAAGGAAGAGAGAAGCATTACGGAAGGAAGAGAAGAAGTTACATCTGATGTTAAGATGGTAACATCTCCCACTGAAGATGCTGTGATGGAGAGAAGTATGAAGAATCGAACTAACAATAATGATGAAGAGAGTAGTAATAGTAGTATGAATGCTAATAATGGGACGGATCTGGAGCAGCTTCTCCGTGATATGTTACTTAAAGAAAACCGTGAGAAACATGAATTGATGTTAGAACTGCAGTTACTACGTCATCAAGTTCAGCACCTGCAGGAACGGGGAATAGTCAAAGCAGGAACCCTCAGTACGAGCCGTGCAGCCTCTTTACCAATAATTCCTATGGATTACGGGAAGTTTACGATGGACAGTGACTATTCCGATGAGGCACAAGGGAAGGGTGTTTGTTTGACAAGAGCAACTGATAGAGAAGGGGAATGCAAACTATTGGTATCTCCTACATTGACGTCTATAACACCAAAAACAAAAATATTAGGAACTACGATATCACCAGAAGAGAAATGTTTGACCGGAACGGATATATCTGGTCTTGTTCCATGTACATCAGAAGGCTATAATCGATTGTTACTATCACCTCAACAACCACAACCATCAGAAGAAAAGATAGAATGTGTATCCCCATCACATCATTCTTTATATCCTTCAGTAGAAGCGGAGGAAGTTCATGTCGGTGATGATGATAACGCAGAGAAACACTTTCGACACGTTCATGTTGCACTTGTGGAATCTCCGCTGGTTCATCCCTTAATTACTACTACTTCTTCTACTATGCAGGATGAGGAGAGCAATCTAACGGTCTCACGAGAACTGGCACGGCCCAGCGGCAGTAATCCACCTTCCGTAGTAAAGTTAACATATCCTGTTTCTACGTGTACGACCGCATCCTCTGAGTCTACCGTTTCAACTGAAAATACATTGAATGAGGCACAAACTGCAGAAGAAGGAAGGAGAGGAGAAGTCGTAGGCGTCATCGCAACTCCATCAATAACAGCAACGACCACCACCACAAGAAATAGTCTTAGTGCGAATCCAGTAAATGCCGTTACCATGTGCCGTCGAAACCACGATACGCGTCGTTATCACGGGAACGATTGGTCAGATCTCCAGGAGGGAGGGAATAACTAAATTTAATGAATTGATTTTGCAGGAAGAATTAAAAAAAAAAAAAAGAAAGAATGCTGAGTTTCAAAAGAAAAAAAAAAAAAAAAAGAAAAAATAAACTTAATGTGCATTTAAACGATTGTGTATATTCTCATAAAATCCTCCCCTTATTTTATGCCTGTAAATGTCTTTTTTATGTGTCTTTTTTTTATTGTTCGTTGACGTTTTGCAATTCCATGTACACATACACACACACGTGCTTTATATATATATATATATATATATAAGTACTGTACGAGTATTATTTTTTCTTTGTATCTTGTTTGTGAAGAATAATATATGAAATTTCTTTTTTTTTTCATTCTTTGCTTTTCTTTTATTTTTATAACAGTGAAGAGTAACATCCACATTGAAGAGGACTGATACAGATACAAATCTACAAAACTTACTTTGCTTACGTACGTACGCATACAATAAAAACACATATATCTATATACATCTATCTATTTATCTATCTATATCTTGTTAGAATTCTATTGGGAATAGAAGGCAACTGAGATATGCTTCTGTATTTTGTCAATGGTGTGACAAGTCATGGTGTTGTGGATACCACACTTGTGGTCCCACATCCCACACTTCCCATTGTGGCTTCTGTGTGGACAAATCCACTACACGTGTTGGTAACAGATGCGGAGGGTGATTTGGTTGCAGACCACACATTTAATTCCACCGCTAAAGTTGGATCTAAAATAACATGTATGGCATGGCATCCCACACATCCTTTACTGGTGATTGGTTGGGATAATGGAAAGTTAATGACGTGGATGACCCCATCGGAGGTTCCAACGAACAGACCGGTGGGAACAGCTGTAGGTATGAGTGTAAATAAACAACCCCAACAACCCGTAGAAGTGGAGAAGGCTGCAGTACAACATGGAGAAGGAAGTGTGGTACAATGTGCGTGGTCTGCTAGTGGCGTGTACTTATTGACAACATCTAGCAAATTACGTGCAGTACTTTGGTCTGTAGAGCACAGTTCAACCAATGTTCCTCAAGGCGATGATGAAGTTATTACATCTCTTACACGTTCAACCGTCACTCCATTGTGGTCCGTTCCAACAGAATCTGTCATGACACATGTTCTTCATATCGGACCTCCTCCCGTTTCATCTCTAAAGCAAACTAAAATGATTGAACTTGATGAGAGTATACCAACTATGGCACCTCCTCGTTCTCGTGCAGATGATGATGGTGATGATGATTGTGCTTTTCTTCTTGCAAGTAATGGTGGGAAACAAGTGTTTGCATTAACAGAAGAACAAAAATTATTTCCACTATTTCTGATGGAGGAACCACCGGCGACTCTATTATATGATGCGGTGGAACGACATCTCGTTGCCTTTAGTACCGCTCATGTAATAAATGTATATCAAATTTCTGAACCTCTTGCCTCAAAATTACTTCTTCGCCGTAAGTTATCTATGCCAAGTCCAACACAAACAGCAGAACGTTTTACCATAACAATGCGTTGGGCCGCTTCAGGAGTCCTTGCATTTGCTTCTGGAGATGATCGTGTGCGGTTCTTTGATATACACAGTGATAGAGTCTATTTCGTCACACACCCAGCTCCGTCCACTACGCATATCACCAATATTGCAACATTGGAGAGAAAAGGATTATTGGCCATGTCAACCACAGAAGGGGCATTAGCGGTATATCAACGACAAGTAGATAATCAACATCATGGAATTACAGGTTCAAATATGAATTACAACAGTGTTACACCTTTACACAACCACCATAATAACAATAATAATAATAATAGTAGTAATGGTGGTGGTAGAAACCAAGGTGATCCAGCGTCTGAGTGGGAATTAGTAACAGTTGTGGATGTAGATGGACGTGTAAGTTCTGTTCATTTTACTACTGCTGGTCACATTATTGTGGCACTTGCAAGTGGCAAACTACAAATATTACGTGAGACAGTACGTAAACGGGCTTGGGATGGTGTTTCAGCAGCTACACAAATATCAATGGAAATGGTGGTGGTGGAAAGTATTACTGGTTGTCAGTGTCTTCTTAAGAGTAATTCAAAGATACGTGGTATGTCCATTGCTTTTCCTACTATTGGTTTATGGAATGGACAACAAATTGATCTTTACACTGTAAATGAGTCTACTTCTACAGCATCACTTACAAATTTTATTCCCACCACATCTCCTGCATTCGCCGTACATGCAGAAGGTGTATTCTTTGTAAAGGATGCTAATCGCGTTACCTTCTCAAATTTTCAACTTGTTACTATTGGTCAACTCGCCTTTACAGAAGCAGAAGGTACACCTGTTATCATTGATGTTATGGGTGATTTTGTAGTAACTATTTCATCTAAAAATGCTATGCGACTTGGCCGTGTGAGTAGTCGAGAAGTTCGTCCACTTGGTCCACCACGACAATTACAACTTCCCGATGATAATGTTATTGTAGTAGACGCAAAAGTAAATGCACAAGGACGTCGTGTCGTACTGATGACACGTTGTATTGCTGGCGATAAACCCGACAGTCGTATTTGGGTATATGATTTGGATACCGATCTCATCAGTTGTTATGATTTTGCTCAGCGGGGTGAGGTACCAGATGCGGTGTATTGGAATACACCAGAACCAAATAGTAATACTATTGGTGAACTTGGTTATCTTCTACTTGCATGTGAGACCCATCAGGTAAAGAATATGGTTGATACCAAACAGTTAAATATACAAGATAACACAGAAGCTGTGGATGAGACTATAGATGCGAATACAACGAAACCACATGGTGCACCATCTCATCAAAATCAACAACAAAATGATCCTTCTTCAGGAACTACAAAACGTGATGAAGAAGTAATTGCTAATGAAGCTATGCCAGATCTTGAGAATTTTGCTGAAAAGAAACAACGAATGGAAGATGAACGATATTTAAGTGGATTTAGTGGTGTTAATCCTCTTGCTAATCGTACACACTCTGTTGTTACATTATTTGCTACAAATAAAGGACTTGTTGTTCATAATGCTGTTTTATTAAAACGATATCATATTTGTCTTGTTGGACTTACTATTCCTGATTTTCTCCTTGCCTCTGTACGTATCAATGGTAATCCTAGTAATCCAGAGGATTATATGATTGAACAAAAACGATTACGTGATTTTGAAGGACTTAAAACTGAGAAGGATGCGGCAGTTCTTGAAGCACTTATGAAATTTAGTTATTACTCTACTATTGGTAATATGGATGAAGCTTATCGTTGTGTAAAGACTATTAAAAGTCCAACAGTTTGGCATAGTTTAGCAAAGATGTGTGTTTTCTCTGGTCGTCTTGATGTAGCGAAAGTTTGTCTTGCACAGATGCAAGATGGTGTTGCTGCTTCTGCTCTTCGTGAAGCTTGTACAAAATATGCAGAAGAAAATGATGTACATTTGGCAACACTTGCATGTAGTCTTGGTCTTGTGAAGGAGTGTGAGGATTTACTCCGTAAAGCTAAACGGTATGATCTTATTACAGATCTTCTTCTTGCTTGTGGTAAATTTGAACAAGCGCAGCGTCATGCTAGACGGTTTGATCGTATTCGTGTATATCCTGTAGCATATAAATATGCACAATTTATGGAATCTTTTTCTAATTTTGAAGCAGCTATTATGTGGTACTATAATGCGAAATGTCTTTCTACAGATGTAGCTAGAATTTACTTTCAAAACAATCGATTGAGTGAGCTACGTGATCTTGTAATTCCACCTTCTTCCAAAAATAAGGGTGACAGTAGTAACAATAATGGAAATAATGTAAAATTGACTGAGAATGATGCCCCTAATGGAAAGAGTGGAGAAAAGAGTGGTGGAAAGAATGGAGAAGATGCCTTAACAAAGAAATCGTCCATATCATTAAAAGAAGGTACGGATAATATAGATTCAAATGAAGAAAAACGTACTGGAGATGAAGAAGAAGTTCGTGCCACATTTGAACGTCTTTTTGCATATAATAAAGAATTACTATTATGGTGGGCACAACACTGTGAGCGACGACGACATAATGCGGAAGCCCTTAAATTTTACACTCTTGCAGAAGATTCATTTAATGTTGTAAGATTATTATGTAGTGAAGATCCTCCACGAATTGATGAAGCACTTGATATTGTTAATAAAACAGCTGATAAGATGCGTTTACAGGCAGGAACTGGAATAATAGGAACAACTGATATGGAACCTTTAGGTGCAGCATTTTTTATTGGTTTGTATTATGAACGTACAAAAGAGGTTTCTGCAGCATTACAGTATTATAAAATGGCAGGTGCATGGAGAGCAGCATCCAGAGTAGCGAAAGCACATCAACGCTATGGTGAATTACTGAATCTTTCACTTGCAAGTGATGATAAACAATTAATGCTGGATAGTGCTACCTTCTTGGAACATAATAATGCCTACGATAAGTCTGTGGAATTATATCATCGTATTGGTGATATTCAGAAAGCAATTGATGTGTGTATTAAAGGAGGTTTATATGAAGCTATGCATCGTATTAGTACGACATTGGATGCACAAAGTGATCCCGAGTTATTTCTACAAATGGCTACACATTTTGTAGAGAGTGGACATTACAATAAGGCAGCAGAGATGTTTGTCTTTGCGAAGGCATTTCCTCGCGCATTAGAACTCTGTGTAGAGCGTAATGTCCCACTTACAGATGAGATGGCAGAGGCTATTACATCAGAAGCAAATTGCCGTGATTTAACAGCAGATCAGCGAACGGCATTACTCCGACAAATTGCTGGTATTGCGAAAGATCAAGGGAATTGGAATCTTGCATGTAAGAAGTATACACAACTTGGAGAACGTGTGAAGGCAATGAAGATGCTTATGCGTGGTGGAGATGTAAACAAGGTAATATTCTTTGCTAATCATTCTCGCAATGCGGAGATTTTTACTCTTGCTGGTAATTTCCTACAATCACAAAATTGGAATACTGACCCCAACATTCATAAACATATTGTTCTCTTCTATACGAAAGCGAAGGCATTTACGCATCTCATCTCCTTTACAGACGCTTACGCACAAATGCAAATTGATGAGAATCGTAACTACTATGAAGCTTGGCGTGCTATTGACGACTGTCTTCATGTTCTCGATCGTAATCGTGATGGTCTTCATGTGGATCCAAATCTCGCCGCACGAGAAGAGGCTTTACGTACACGACGAGAACTTGTTGGACTTGTTGTAAAAGCTGTTAAACTCCTTGCCGATACCGCAACAGACAGTTCACAAGCTAAAGAACTCATTGCCGTCTGTTCAGATCTTATTAAGCGTAGTAGACCAAATCATCAGGATCATGATACCCTCGCAGCCGCTATACGTATTGGGGATGTCTTTGCCCTACTCGTGCGATATTACTATGAAAACGCACAGTCCGCAAAAGATGCACTGCGGGTGGTGGAAAGTATGGTCAAACATTCCGTGGAGCCACAGTTCTTTGTGGAACGTGATCTCTTAGAGGCGGTGTGTGCCGCAAACGGGCGAAAATTAACCGAGTTTATTGGCGATAGCAATACGAAAGGGATGCCAGAGAGTGGTAAAGGAGTTCGTAGTGGTCCCACACATGCTTAACCAATGAGATTTGTAGATATATATATATATGAAAAGAAAAGAAAAAAAAAAAAGAAAAGAAGAAAGGGTACATTAGATGGAAAGAGGAGAGAAGAAAACAAAAGAAAAAAAAAAGGAAAGAATGAAGCAAATTACGTTTCTTAGGTAAGCAAAAAAAAAAAAAAGAAAAGGAAGAAGAAAGAAAAAGAAACATTGAGGTGGTTGGTAGAGTAACATACCTGTAGAATGAAGAAAAAAAAAAGCAAAAAAAAAAAAAAAAAAAAAAAAAAAACAAAGAAAGAGAAAAAAAAAAAAAATGGAGATATTCGTTGATATGTAGAGCAATGGTGTATGCGATTTACCACTGGCAACGTGACTACTATTAGTAGGAGATATCGTTTCTCTTTCTTTCTTTGTAGATATATGTGTATTGGGGAGGGAAATAGAGCAACAGGGGTTAAGAAAATACCTTTATGCTGTCACAACCCAGTTTATTATTATTATTATTATTATTATTATTATTTTACTTTTTTGGCTTTCCTCACCGTCTATTTTTCTCTTTTTTTTCCACTTTGTTATTCGTATTGTATTTGAGTCTTGGTAATCCTCTGAAAATTGGTGGTTAGTCTTTCATGCTGCAAATATGAATACACCTTATTTTTTTCCCCCTCTTGTGTATTTATGCTGTTTTTTTTTTCCTTTCTTACTAATTCATTGTGCTCTTATTTATTTATTTATTTCTGTTTTTTTTTTTTTTTTTTTTACTTACTTATAAGGAGGGTGTATCAGGCGAGTAGGAGGTGAACTACAGAGAGAGTAGAAGAGAAGAAAAAAATAAAAAAATAAAAGAAAAAAAAAAAAAAGAAAATCCACAAATAAATAGGAAAGAAAAAAAAATAAGAGACATGAGTGAGAGCAGTGGTGATGCATCATCAGTTATCGTCTCTATACTTCCTCATAAACCAATAAATGTCTTCGCTACAGATGGCAGAAATAGTGATACCAGTGAAGGCAAACCACCACGAAAGCAACAACACCCACAAAAGAAACAAGAACTAGAAGAAGAACAATCACAACAACAACAAGAACAATCACAGGAAGAACAACAACAACGACCAAAAGTTAGTGGAGTTGGTTCTGTACATTGGGAATCAGCTGCAAGAAAGAAACGCCCTCCACCGAAATGGTCTTGTCCGATAAACTATCAACCAGTTAATAATGCATTGATGCCAACACCGCGGGTATGTAATGTAATGTTTCCATCTGCTGAACTTCTTGGTGACCCAACGAGAACATCTTTACTAAATCATACAGCCTCATCATCCCCAAATTGGCTTTCCGGAAGTGTTAGTAGTAAAAATACTCGTTTCACATCTATGGGAGGTGTAGTCCCACAAGATCCAGCCGTACCTCTTCCACCTAATGCTCCACCAGTTGTTAGTGAAACTAGACGCGATGTATTTAAACAGTCTGGTGAACATATTCCACGGCCAGAGGCACGTGTTGTACATCCACAGGGATTTCGTATTCTTAAAGATCGTAGTGTGATTGAACGATCACTGCGTAGTTACTTTAGACTTCCACCAGCACCAAGTACACATCTTAAACAAGAACGTAGACGTGCCCAACGACAACTCTTAGCGGTTGAAATGTCTGAAGATGCTGAAGATGCTCGGTTTTTTAGTGCCACCATGGAAGGTTCACTGCGACAACCACCTATGGCTTCAGGTTCAATGCAACCACGATTACTTCTTGATGGTTTTATGTTACTTTGTGCAGGTGCACAACCTGAACCAGAGGCAGTAGAGGCAGTTACATTACAATGTTCACATCTAGTAGGTGTTATTAAGGATGATTTAACACATTTTCGGAATTTACGTTTTCTTGATGTAAGTGAGAATGAATTATTATTAGAACAACTTTTACCTCTTACAGGTCTTGAAGTATTACATCTTGCGTATAATAAGATTAATTCTCTTGCTGGTGTTGCACGGGCAGTACAAGAACAACAACAACAACAACAATTACAACAAAAACAAGAAAATAGTGGAAATGGTAATATTTTCTCTAATCGTAGTGGAATCCGTTGTAGTGCAAGTGGTGTGGGTCCTAATGCGACCCGTAATAGTGCTTCTATTCGAAGTGCTGCCGCATATTATGCAAAAGAAATATCAGCCGCAACAGTGACATCAAGAACTAAAACAACAACAGGAACAGAATCACCACCTCTTGATATTGAAGGAAATTCTTGTCAAGCTATGGAACGAAATTCTTTTGTTAGTGGTGTAAATAGTAGTTGGAGTGGTTATATTGATGCTGGTGTTGGTTATTTCTCACCACATCAGAAAGTTACTGGACTCACACAAGAAACATCTGAATGCAGTTTACATGACGTCCTTTTACCAAATTTACATGCTTTAAATCTATCTTTTAACAGTATTCCACCAAATGATGTTTTACATTTATCATATTTTCCATTTCTTGAAAAATTAGATTTAAGTGGGAATAATTTACGTGTTCTTCCACAAGATCTTGCTGGACTCACATGTGTAACTCACTTTGCACTGGAACGTAATCATTTTAGCGATGGTAAATCTGTCTTTGCGGCACTTTCTACTATGCCAGCTCTTATTGAAGTAAATCTTAACCATAATGAGTTACGTCGTGTACCCCCACTCTCTGTACGAGATGGTCATGGTCTTTGTTTTCCCACTATTGAAGTTATTGGACTTGCTCACAACCGTGTGGAAACCGCACAGGATGTGGCTGCGCTGAGTGAACTTGTGAAGACGCTGCGTCGTGTGGTACTTGCAGGAAACCCAATTGCCCGTAAGAAGAAAGAACAAGGTGAGGCACAGGCACTGTTTGCACAGTCTGTTATGAATATGTATTGGGAACAAACGGGTATTTCTGGGAAAGATGAAGTTGAATTTGGATCTGGAAGTCCTTTCTGTACAAATCCTCTTGTTTCTACGGAGTCCCTACCTTCACATTTTCGTCGTTATAGTAGACATGATCATCAACATCATCATCATCATCATCATCAGCAACAACAACAAGAAGAAGAAGAACAAGAAGAATGGCGTCAGTGGCATCCTGGAGAGGAAGATATACCGGAGTCTGAGAAGGGAGAAGAAGATTATCATGCTTTAGATAGTCTTGTATATTCATGGAAGGAACAGATGGAATCGAAGCGTTCTTTACATAATCAGACAGAATATTCTCAAGAAAGTGGTCCATTAAGATATAGTGAAGATGATAGTGAAAATGATAAGGATAACAATAATGAGAGGAAACCCCGTGATGCTCCCCCTTCTAATGATACTAATACACTAAGTCTTTCTTTTACTAGAGATGGTGGTGCTGTATTAAATAACATTATTTGGTACGGTGATGCATTACCACCTCCACAAAGTGCTACACCATCAGGAAAAAATGGTAAAGCCACCGTCCCACCATCATCATCTTTATTACATTTTGTAGAACTTGTATTTGATGATGTTGTAATGCAAAAACAAAAAGTAGGCTACTTCTATGCAAAGAGACGTCAACTCCTGAAAGAAGAGGTAGTAGGAGAGGAGCAACAACAACAACAACAACAACAACAAGGTCAGATAGATCCAACTCAACCATCGCGGATGGTTCATCCCAAAACAGGTCTTGTTACAGTACCGAACTACAATGAGTTTATGGACATTTATCGACTTCTCGAAAAATCACCACAGACACAACGTCCCTATGGGAAACGTATGTATACCACCACTACTAGACGAGGAAGGAAAAAGAAACCAACAACCAACATTATGGTTTCCCCAGATAAGGAAAAAGAATCTGATGAGGATGAGACAAGGAAAGAAGAGGATGGTACTAAATCTACTACAGAGAGTATGATAGTTGAAACCAAATCACAGTTAGAGGAAAGTGAAATAGATGATGAGGAAGAGGAAATAGAAACTTCTTCATACGGAAGTGTTTCTTCACAAGATGTAGTCTTCATGACAGGTGTAGCTCTGCAGGAAGAGAAGAAGAGTGATAAGGAACGAAGGAAGCGAAGAAGAAGAAGAAGAAATGAGGAACATAAGAATGAAGAAGAACATATGGATCAAGAAGAACCTTTAGAAAAAGATGAATTAAATCCTGATATCGACACCGATATGGATGGAACTTCCAAAATAGAAGAGAATTATCAAACAAAATCAAAGAAACAACAACGACAACATCATCAAAATCGTTCCAAAGAGTATTTCTCTACACATGGAAAGGAAGATCAGGCCTCCTCATATGAGTATGAACCACCTAGTACGAATGTTCGTATTCTTATGAATGAACTTCGTCGTATGTTGCGTCGTCCACTACCAGCTCTTCCTCCTCTCACCACAACGCGTCCCACCAACAGGAGTACAAAAGGATTATAAAAAGAATACTTCTTTACAATATACTTTTTGCTGCTGAAATTATTCTTTTTGTGTTTCTTTCTTCTTTCTTTTCGTTTGTTTGTCTCTAGGAGTGGTGATTGTAGTGGTGTGGTGTTCTCCTTCTTTGAGAATATTTGCAGTTGTAGAGTTTTGATTCTTTTCTTCTTCTTTATGTATAGAGGGTTCAGAACTGCTTGTCAACATGGTTCGTGTAGCTCTTGTTCTTTCACATGTACACTAGTTGTTTATTTTTATTTTATATTCATCTTGGATCTATTTTTGTATGTTTAAATATTTATATTTATACAAGTTTTTACTCTTTCTTAAGTCAACTACAAATGATATATGATGTGGAGTTGGAAAATCTTAACATAAACATAAATTGCCTGATGTTTCACTATTTGTGCGAATAATTTTTTTTTTTTTTCCTTCTTGTTTTTTCTATCTATCATATAAGAAGAAAAAAAAAAAAGATATAGAGGAAGAGACGTCCATCGTTTGCTTTTTTCTATTTCTATACACATCTGTTAAATTAAACCGGGTAGCTGTACCATCCCTAACATAATCTAGTAGTGTGTGTGTGTGCTAACAAATGCAGGGAGAAGAAACATATCGTGTGGAGAGAGGAACGTTTTTTAAACAGAGAGAAAGAAGAAACACAACACCAATACAGGGCAACAGAGTCTGGAGTTCCTCACGTAGTGATAAGAGTAGAAGCATCAGTAACAACAAGAACAAAAGGAAGAATATTAGCTGTAATGATATCAACATTGGCATTAATAGTAGAAATTCAGTGGATAATCAACAGTCCATGTCAACGTTGTTATTTGCAGAGCGACCTTCAAACATATGTGATGATAAGAGATATTCACAGTCTTGTATGGTTCAATCAAATTGTGAAAGGAAAAAAAATTCGTTACCTCTTGGTGAAGGTTCTTCTTCTTCCTCTTCCTCTCAAGTGAGACCCTCGTCCGGTTCATCCCGCTGGAGAAATAAAGAACCTATATTTTGCTCCCCGTACTACCGCTGGACGCCTCTCCACACAGCTTACACTCATGCTTTAGTGCAGGAGCATGATAATCTTATTCAATGGTTCACAAATCAACAAGAGAAACAACAGAAGGAAAAGTTACAAAAACTCTACAATGAATTTGAGATTCATGAAACTGATTCTGCCTTACTTGCATGGATTAAAGTAACAGAGTCACGATGTGATGCATTACGGTTGTTTATCCAAGAGCATCGCACATTATACGGTAATTTAGATGCAGACAAACTATTATTGGTGGAATCATGTTATCATCGTCTAGTGCATTCTCTGTGTGAGGCACAAAGACAACAACAACAACAAAAACAAAAGTGGTTGCCATCTTCCGGCTTGTCTGTGACTTCACTGTTGGATGCGGCCAAATCTGCTGGTCGTCCTCTTATGGCGCGGGCAAAGCGTATCAGTTTTGCACAACCCTTGTTTCACTACTTTTCTTCATCCTCTTCTGGTGATTCAGAGAAAAATACAGGAAATTTAATGAATAAATTGTTAGAAGCTGTTCCTACTAGTACTACTACTACTACTACTACTACTACTACTACTACTTCTTCTGTTCCTACTACTATGAAGAAGACTGCAGATGATGTTTATTGTTCTGTTGGGGGTAAATATATGGGTCGGACCAGCGGTATATATTATGGAGGTCTTCTTTCATCAGACTTGACATCTACTCCGATTATGCGGCAGCAACGACCTCAAAGTGAGATATTGAGTGATGAAGATAATATTAAAAAACAGAATTTAGAGGAAGAGGTCTGTCCTCGAAGACTGGTCCCAATTTTTATGATGGTTGAGACATTATCGTCTCGTCAACGAAGACCACAACGGCGAACATCGTTCAGATTAGGTGCTGTCTTGCTCGCCTTTGCTTGTATTGCGTTTATTGGGTTTTTGTGGTGGTGGGATTTGAAATGGAAAAGGAATGAGGTGTTCCTGAAGAAACTTTGATTCACATTTTTTACTTTATATAAAAGATTGATGTTGAGAGTCTTTTATTTCTATACTTGAAATCTTTGTTTGTTTTATTTTATTTGTACGTTTATTATTATTATTTTTTTTTTTAAATTGATATTTTTATTCTTGTTTGTTTGTCTTTGGGATTGCCTTTTTGCCTCATTTTTTTTCAGGTTTTTATTGAACGGTTAATTCTTCAGACTATCTTTTTTTTCTCTTATCATTGTAGAGCGTTTGGCTTTTTTTTTTGTAGATGGAATTTCCAAGATGATATTCACAATGAAAGGGAATGTGCAGAACTTGTAATGCACATATCCCCTCAAAACAAAAAAAAGAACGGTAGAAAACAAAAAAAAAAGTCTCAGTGGTATTTCTTGTGGATGCTTATTATTATTATTATTATTATTATTATTATTATTATTATTATTATTATTTATTGTTATTATTATTCTGATTTCTCTTGTATATATGATTATTGTTATTATTTATTTGTTTTTTTTTTATTTTTTTACATCTGCATTCCTCTTCTTTACTTTTATTTCCCCCAGCAGCAGAGACATCAGAGAGATGGAGAGTAGTTTACCGGACAGTTCAACCACCTTCTTGCTGTCCGCCAAACAACAAATAGGCGGAGAAGAAGGAGATGAAGTAAAGAAGGATAAACAAAAGCATCAGAAACACCATAGATCCAAGCGAACTACAGAAGGGAAAACGACAACACCCTCTCGTAAAATGCATTCACCACCACCACCACCACCAGCAACAGCAGTAGCATCAGAATCTTTAGGAGAAACAAAAGTAAAATCAAATCTTTTGACGGGTATAGGAAGAAATGGAATAATGACAAAGGGGTTTGATGTCATTGTACGTGGAGTACTTGAAGGGGCGGAGTGCCACACGGCGGATGCACTCTTCGCCCGTACGTATTGGGTCCATGGCCGTGATTGGACGCCCATCTCCACTCTCACTCCAGCAAACAATCTCAACATCAATCTCAACAACACCCACGCAGGCGGCCACGTGCACAGCAGCAGCGGCACATCGCTGGTCCGCCCACTAGATCGCTGCTCGCAGGCAGAAGTGATCACACAACTCGCCATACGCTCCGAAGATCCCTTCTCGCGATTCACATGGGCCGCACCCTTCGAACTCGCACTCCACAGCAGTAACCCGCACGGATGGCCGCAGATCGTCGTCACTCTCCACACCGTCACGCCGGGATCACCAACGACCCGCGCAACTGACGGCGGTGGGGCGCCGTGCGTGTCGTACAGCCGCTGTTTTGTGCCGATGCGCAGCGGCCACTACCGCCGGCAACTGCCGTTGATGCAACTGCAGCCCGCCACACGGCGACAGGCGTGGATTGAATGGTGGACATGCGAACGTGCAGAACTGCGGGATCCCGCGTTTCTCTGCAGTGGCGAGGATCGAAGTGTGTTGCGTGCGGCGCCACTTCCTGGACACGTTGCGTTATCGCTTTCCGTGACTGTTCGTGGAATGGCGGAGTGCGGTATGGAACCGTAAAAAGAAAGGAAGAAGAAGATGTCGAAACGTAATCATTGATGATGTTGTGATTGAGGCCATAATAGTAGATTGGCGCAGTAATAGTGGTGGTAGTGGGACAAGGTTGGACAAATTGCACAAATGATATAGAGGGGGTTCACTCTTGCAGGTGTACCGTTTCATAGATTCTTTGCTAATAATATAGTGCAGCAATGTAACAAAAAAAAAAAAAATGAAAACATAGTTGTGAAAACCAAAAAAAAAAAAAACAGTAGTTGGGTTTGTTAACATATACACCCACACAAATATCTTTTTTTTTCTCTGTTTATGTGTGTTTGCGTTTCTATCGTGGGATAGTTACATTAACCAAAATTGTTTTTTTTTATTTGTGATTAATTTTCACTTTTTTTTCTTTGTATGTTTTTCTTCCTCTTTTTTTTTCACTTTTGTTTTGGTGTCATAGGAAACGAATATACGTTTAGAACGTAAGGAAGAAACAGAGACAAGAAAGAAAAATTACTTTATATATACTTAAATTTTATAAGGAATTTTTCAGCTTGGTCTCGTGTTTATATATATATATATATTCTGGGGGAATATAAGAGGGCAAGTTTAGTAGGAGAAACTAAGCTCTAAGGAAATAAAATACGGTTGTTATTAAAAGGAACATAACTCTGTTTGTATATCTCTCTCTATTTTTGTTTCTGTGTCAGAGAGAGAGAAAAAAAAACATATATATATATATATTTAGTTGAGAGGGGAGAAAAAAAAATGGCGCAGAGTCTAAAGACGTCGCCGAACCTTTCACGCAACAACCACAAGCTTGGGAGTAATAGTAGACATCAAGGTCAAAGACGAAGTGTTTTTTCCCCGATAGTAACATTGTACGTATTATTATTGTTGCAATTGACTATAGTTCCATCTGTTTTACCACTATCATCATCAGCGGCGGCAGCAGTACCGCAGTGTGCGTGGGTCTTCAGTGTAGCGGAAGGGGAAACGTCTACAAATGTCTTAACACGTCAATGGGCACGTGAGATGTGTGCTGGGAAGTACGTGACTGTACAGACACAGAACTCTGTGCTGCCGGGTTTCACAGTTCCCAATGCCCATCTCCTTGTGGTCCAGTATACACCAACCAAGACGGGATTGGCTGAAGGAGATGTGCGTTATGTCTCTCAGGAGCTAAAAATTACATGCGATGTGTTTACACCACTCTGCGAAAAGGCAACAGTGTACTTTGTTGTTAGTGGTACAGAAACACCTGAAACAACAACAACAACAACTACTACTACTACGACGACAACAACGACAACAACTGAAGCACCGTTACCTCCTAGTGAAAACACTACTACTACTACGACGACAACAACGACAACAACTGAAGCACCATTACCTCCCAGTGAAAATACTACCACAACAACGACGACAACAACAACAGAAGCTCCTACAGAGGCACCAGTTGTTTGTCCTTTAAATGGTCTTCTTCCTGTAGTGACAGTGAATATGACCACCCCTACTTCTCTTACTCCTCTGCAATATGTAGAAAACTGTCTTCTACCAAGATATTTGGTTATAGAAAGCACTAATAGTCCCAATAGTGAGGATCAGACTAATTATTTTTCTGTTGAGGATGGTGAGATTCTTTGGTTTGATCGTAATGCAGAAAACAAGAAAGAGGGTTTATTTAGTGCTAACCTCACTATATACTGTAGTGGGATGCTATCGTGTAGTGATGTTCAGGCACAGGTACTCGTAGAGCAAAACTCAATTGTTCCACCTCCTCCAGAGTCTTTACCGAATTGTAGTCACATATATGGCTATCGTGTAGACTTTGAACAACATGCTCATCTCACTATTGTACCACACAAGGATGATTCTTGTTCTGTTAGTACGCAGAATTATTTTACGCTTGTTTCACCACCAAAGTATAATCCGGATGAATTTCATCTTTACCCAAGTACTGGCGCTTTTGATTACACTGGACCTCCCGGACCCCAGGTGAAAAGTGATACATTTGTATTTATTATTGGTTGTAACGATACTGAGACTTCTACAAATAAGTTTTTGTGTACAGGACGTGCTCGTTTGCAAATCACAGCACCCCCGGAAACACCACCGGAGGAAGTAGAATGTCCAGGAAACTTTTCTTTCATTTATAATATTACCACTGAAGGCGTTGGATTACCGGCTTCATACAATCTTTTCCGTGCTGCCACCGTCGTTGGTGGTTCATCATTTTGCGCAGATGAACATTACGTGGGGGCGGAGGTGCGAACACCGCCGGTGGGTGGAAATATCTCATCTCTTAACAGTGAGACGGGTGAGTTTCAGTACACCCCCGCCGGAGTTGCGGCCGATCACTTTGATTTTGCCCTCACATGCGCCACTGGGGCCGTCTGCCACGCCACTGCCGAACTGCTTCCACACAATTCGCCCAACAACTCCAACAATTCCACAGACATTTATGATCTCGGGGCTGTTGTGTGCCGCGGGACGTGTGATGCCGCCGCGTGGCGCTCCGCCGCCGCTTTTCCGGACGTTTTCGACACCCCCGCCGGCCCGCACGTGACGCCCCGCCGCGATGGCGCCTCGCCGGACGCCGTAGATGTTGACATCAGCATCGCCGGCAGTGCACTCCTCATTCGGGCACGTACAACTATAGGAAATATGGCCGCTCGCTTTATTACTTTTACCCCAATTCAACCTACAAATCCAAATAGTGGAAACGGGAATGATAATTACTTCACCGCTGCTACAGTACCTAAGGATGCTGGTGTTTCCTTTAATGTCTCATGTCTTGACCGTCAGGCGAAGTTTGGTCTTGCCGAAGATGTATGGACGTGGGATGATAATAATGGTGAGATGGAGCTGCATGGGCATATCAATACAGTAACTAATGCCTACAAGAGTGGGGAAAACTATTTCCAGAAGTTTGGCGGAAAACATCAAAACTGCGACGTGTTCCGAATAGATCCATGTAAATATGCCCCTATGATGACACCTACCACACTAAATATAAACGGGATGAAGAATAGTATAAGTGATGACGGTAGCATCAGAAGAAGCAATACTAATAATAATAATAATAATAATAATAATAATATGGATAAGAAGACGGATAGGAGCCAAAACGTGGTTAATGATAATATATTTGATGAAGAGGATGTAAATTCGGCTATTGATTGGAAATTATATATCAATGACTGTGATGCGACATGGGTAGGGAATATTTCGATTCATCGTCTTCGTCGGTTACGCAACAGTAAGACAAATGAACCTCTATTTAAACTTGTTAATGAAACCGAATTGATTGGCACGATTTACTCACAGGTTGTGAAGCCAGCGAGTTGGGTACCACCATACAAAGGGATTCTAACAAAATATCGAGCATATAATGTTCGACTATCAATACGTAACTCCATTTGGACTGATGTTGAAGTTACACCGATTTCTGAATCTGAAGCAAAACCAGAAAGTAATACATCACCAATGAAACGTCGTATACCAAAGGAATCAGTAGTTGTACAAGCTTCTGTAGTTATGGAACCAACGCCAACAAGAACAACATCATCATTAAAATCACCATCTTTGTTAACTGGTTCTTCAAATGAATTATTTAATATATCTGTTGATACACGATTTGCCGTTGGAGTAGATCCTCAAACGAAAGAGCGTTTGTATGGTTATTCACTATTGCTTTATCCGTATCAATTGAATTATTCTGATATTGTTTATAGTACTCCTAAACTAGTACACCTTAATGCTTCAAAGTTACGTGTTACCGATATTCAACTTATTAATAGTTCATGGAAAACGCCAAACTTACATGATTGTTTAGAATGTAAGGGAAAAGAAATGACATGTCAAGGTACTGGAGTTGGACTTAATCTTGACTGTGATTCAATTATTCGTTTTGAACCAGCTGGATCTATTCCAGTATTTCAATTAGGATCACATGGACAACGTGTAAAACACCGTTATAGAGAAAGTCCTGATCAATTCCTAAACGTTTCTTTTATTGCACGTGTGGTTGGTAATGGTACAGAAAAATCTGCAGCAGGAATTCCAGATGGTTCTTTCGCATTACGTTTACGTTTTGGTAATACTCAAAGTGTTATTATTAATATGCAGCAGGTTGCATATATTACAGGAATTAATTCTATTGTAGATAGTTTATTATGTCGATCTTCAGCTTATTGGCCCGTTCCTGATCCACTTGGTGGATCTGTTCCTGTTAAACCATTTAATGCAACACAGATGCTAGAAAATATCCTCAACACTCCATTGGATGAAGGTAATACAAAAGAAAAGAAATCATATTTTGGACCTCCACGAGCTCTTCATACTAGTGATTTCTGTGACTCTTCAGATTACCCACAACCTCCTGTGCGTGTTGTATTAAATAGCACTACTGCTACAGTGAAGGGAGAAGAATCTGATGGAGAAGGCAATTCCGTTTTGTCAGATGTAGAGCTTGATATGTGTGCTATTCCAGATGAAGGAGTTTATGGCGTAACAGACTGGGTATATGTTTCTCTTCTTGATGAGATAGGAAGCGTAGCTACTACATTTTCTGGTCGAATGACGTTAGAATATCTTGTTTTATCCGTTAATGCCAAAGAAGTACTTGGTGTATTAAAGAATGAATCGATGCCATCAATACAAGAAGAAGAAGATGAAGAAGGAAGAAAACAACAACAGTTACATTTTCTTCTTGATGGTGCTGGACTACCAGAAGATATGCCAAATGATGAATCAATTGAGGAAGAAGAATGGAGAAAATGGATAGAGAATACAACAAATGTAAAACCAAAGGTGTATTTAGCTTGGGAGAAGTATGCTGCATTCTTACAATATCGTCGTATTCACGTTCGTCAATGCCCACAGAATCTCTCTTCTGCACCATGTATTATTGAACCATTTCATTTTGCATTCGTTCCAGGTACACTTTTACACCGCCGTAGCAGTGTTCGTGTAGAGTTTTATTTAAGGGCAGCTATTCGTTTCACTCCAACTGATAGTAGTATGGAATCACAAGTTCAGGAGTTATTCTTTACAATTCCTGTTTCTGCACAAGTTTCTTCTGCAATTCGTTTTGATCGTGATGTGTATGTTCCGCATGTGGTACCAGCGACAAAAGGAGGACTAAATAAAAAATCTGCAACTGCTTTATTTGTTACATTTGCAACTCTTATCGTTGTTTTACTAGGTGCGGCATTTTACATTGAAACCCATTACAAGCGTATCTTACGTGCTGCTAAACGTCGATTACGTCAGCAGATGGCTGGTGGTAAAATGGAGACCAGTAATGGTTATTCAAGCTATTCACATTCTAGTTATGAGCCTCAGAACCAGTCAGAGGGATTACGTGGACGATTTCGTTCCCCATTACGGGATACGAATACGACTGGTAGTGCATTTACTGGGAGGGAAACTGGAACACCATCGACCTCCACATTAGCGTTAACAACTTCCGCACCGACGAGAGAAGCGGCATCATCGACTTTGACTGGTATACGAACAAGTTACGGTGTTGTGCAATTAGAGCCAAGTCGCATGCGAGATTCCGAGGATAGCAACAGAAGTTCTGCGGTGCATCCTCCCACACAGGTGTTGCGTGCCGAGCAGACACAAGAAAGCGATAATTATACAGTGGAGGAGATAGTGGTAGATATCAAATAGAGAGAACTAACGTATGGGGTGAAGAAAAAAAGAAAATAGGGACAATAATAAGAAGAAATGAGAAGGACAAGAAGAAACTTGGAAAAGGAAGAACTGAGTGTGTGTCTTTCCACTAAGAATAATGGGATTCCTAAAGCCATGCAATTTCGTTCTTAATTATGGATCGATTTACTTTTTTTTCAATTTATTCAAAGTTTAACTCCTCGCTATTATTATTATTATTATTTTTTTTTTTTCTTTATTATTATTGGTGGTTATATTACAATAACCTCTGTATTTTAATACATAGCGAATATCATTGTTGAAAAAAAAAAAAAAAAAATACTAGCATGTGGAGTAAGCGAGTTTCTTTGTGAGGGAGTTGGATGAGGAGCTATTGCACAGAGATGCAAAATGAATTAAGGAAATATTACATGAAAGAATAAAAGAAAGAAAAAAAGGATAATAAGAGAATAAAAAAAGGATAGGAGGTTAATAAGATGGAAATAAACAGGAAATAAGATAAAAATATTATTTGATACAAAGAGAGTACAAGAAATAAAAAAAGAAATAATGTCTTTTCTTTGTATTCTTATTTCTTCTTACAAACCTGTTTCTATTTGTAATTTTATGCGTCCAATTGTTATATTTGTTTTTTATTTTTATTTTTGTAAACCTCTTCCACGTACGAAATATCTGTTATTTTCTTATTTGAGGTTCAAATACCCCTTTCTCCTATTTCCCCACTAACTGTAGCGTTGTTAGTCTTTTTATTCCTTCAATTGTCACTTCTTTTGTTACGATAGTTCCTGTTTTATTACATTGATGTTTTCTCTCTCTCTCTTTTTTTTATCTTTCGTTAGAGGTCGTGTTGGTAGATAAGGCCACTGTTCCCTCTCCCTCCTCTTTTTTTTTCCCCCTCTTTCACTCTGTTCCTGTGTGTGTTTGAGTTTGTGTTTGTGTGTTTCTGAGGGAGGGATTACTGTATCATCTTTTTTTTTTTTTGTTTACATTGACGGTTATTACGCAGTGAGAAGGATCTGCGTATAAACGTTGCTGTATTATTGTACACTATTGTTTGACAGTAGTCCAGAAGGGAAAAAAAAAATATTATAAAAAAAGTGAAACTAATATTAAGGCAGAGAAAAGGATTCTCACAGCGAAGACAGAAAAGGGAAAAGAAGAGACAAAAACTGAGATACCAAGTATTGATTTATATTTGGAAAGTGAAGGAAGGGAAAAAAAAAGTTTAAGTTAGAAGCAAATAAACCAGAACGAGAAAAAGGAAAAAAAAAGAGTCTTGGTATTTAATTCCGAATATTATTATCTGTCTCTCTTACTCTCTTTGTGTGTGTGTGTGTGTGTGAAGAAGAGGGGGGCTTACAAAAGGGAAGCGAAGGAAGGAAGCCATAAAAAGAAAAAAATATTATATATATATATATTTATATAGATACTTATAAGTACCAGTAAAAAGAAAAAAAAAATGGAGAAATATACCAAGATTCGAGTGCTCGGAAAGGGCAGTTTTGGTAGCGCCATTCTTATCAAACGTCGTAGTGATAATGCACTTTTGGTTATCAAGGAAGTATTCCTTGGTAAGATGAGCCGAAAGGAGCGGGAAGAGGCACGCCATGAGTGTCGAGTGTTACAACAACTCAACCATCCTAATATTGTGAGATATGTTGAACACTTTGAAAATCGCAATAATTTGTATATTGTAATGGAATACTGCGATGGTGGTGACCTTCATATAAAACTTAAAAATGGTGGTCCAATGAAGGAGAGTACTATTCTTTATTATTACTCACAAGTGTGTCTTGCAATGGAGTACTTACATTCACGTCATATTTTACACCGTGATATTAAAACGATGAATGTTTTTCTTATGAAAAATGGATCTGTAAAGTTAGGTGACTTTGGTATATCTACCGTATTACGCAATACGATGGGTATGGCAAACACGGTGTGTGGTACACCTTACTACTTCTCTCCTGAGATTTGCCGCAACAAACCGTACAATAACAAATCAGATGTTTGGGCCCTTGGTGTATTATTGTATGAATTAGCCACTGGGCGTCATCCATTTGATGGTAATAGTATGCAACAACTTATGCAACGCATTGTAAAGGGAACGTATGCACCATTACCATCACACTTCTCATCAGAGTTTCGCAAGATGGTAGACTGGTGTTTGCAAAAGGACCCTGCACGTCGCCCTACTATTAAACAATCCCTCTCACTCCCTATTGTGCGCCGTTCTCTAGAACAGTTGGAGGAGAATCTTATGCTTGCAACCCAGTGTAAAGTCCGACTAAGAGACATTATGGACTTTGACGTGGGCTCTAGTGGTGACAATAATAAACAACGCGGAGCTGAAAACAAAACACCATCATCACCATCACAACAAAAACAACAACAAGCTCCACTAGGAAGGCCACCACGTTCGCCTTCGCCTTCGCCCTCACCAGAGGCAGGAGTTCTTTCACCGGGCCGGGCAGCCGCTCTTGCGGTAGCGGAACAACAACAACAACAACAACAACAAAAGTCACCACGTCGGCCGGTGCCGCTTGGCCCAAAGCCCAGTGCTGGAGGAATTGCAGGAGTGCCGGCAGTTGATCACAACCGCATTGATAACTATCGTCGCCATCTGCAGCAACAGTACCAGCAGCGAGGAGCGGGCAGTCCATCATCGGCGGGGAATGTCGAGTGTAGGACGCCACGCCCAGCATCACCAGCCCCCCAGCAACTCCGATATCCACAACAACAACAACAACAACAACAACAGCAAAAACAGGATCGGAATGTAGTGGATGCGGTAGATCCACGAAATATACCAGTAGTTGAACAGCAGAAACGTCCTCATGAGGGAGAAAAAGGTGGGGATGCCTTTAAAGAGCGAATGAAACGTGTTGACGCCATCATGCAACGGTATGCAGAGAATGTAGATCCAAAGGCTCGTGACACCATTCATGCGTATATGAAACGCAAACAAGAAGAATATGCACAACGTCAAAGATCTCAACAAGAGCGTCTTAAACGTCGTGCAGAGTTACGGAGAAAAGAATTAGCCAAGGTAATTGAATATCAGAATAGGATTGGGCGTGGTGATGCACAGCAATATCAACAACAAAAGGCGTTGCCCCGAAAACCTAGTGCGTCACCCTCTCATGTAGGTGGTGATGTTTCACCGTCCTCTCCACGGAAGCAACAACAACAACAACAACAACAACAGCAACAACAACAACAACAAGAACAACAACAACAACGACAAGCCGTTTTTGGTCGTGATCCACGCTATGTCCAGAGACTCTCTAAAGAACTAGATCTCTCTCCCCCATCACGCAAAAGCAATCAGAGCTCCAACTGCATTAATGCCCCGAATCGAAAACGAGTACCCCACAGTGCTCGAGAAAGAGGAAGGGTGGTTGCAGCAAATTCTCCACGTATTATTGCCCCACCAAAGACTCGACAGCCACCGTCGGAGATGTCACCGCGAAATGGAGGTGTACGCAGTGCACAACCACCACCACCACCACCACCAGCAGCAGCAGCAGCAGAAGTGGCAGCGGCAGCAGCAGCAGCAGCAGCAAGAAATGCATATCTAGGTAATAGAAACTTTAATAATATTAACAACAACATGAACAATCTAAAACTAGTGCCTCCACCACCACCACCACCACCACAAGTGGCAGGGCGTTCAGGGATACCAGGGCCCCCAAGAGTTTTAAGAGGATCGGATATTAACGCACCGTTGCAACAACAACAACAACAGCAGCAGCAGAGACCCCAAGCAATGCTCCATATCATTTCAACACCTGTTCTTCCCATTCCTACAGGAGGAGCAAATGGCAACCTTGCTGAAGATATCCTTATAGAAGTGAAGAAAGGTGAGAAAGTTTTTGTAAACAGTCGAAAATCACCAAATATAATGGCGCGACGTAATAGTCTTCCTTTACATCATCCTACAGAAGTTCCTCATTCTCAAAATGGTACCTCATTCAACAGTCTGCCTGTTTTGGGATGCAAACATATGATTCGACCTACAGCTGCAGCTGGATTTATGCCTCAGGGTTTCGTGAAACAAGACGCACAAGAAGAACAACAACAACAACAACCAGGTCCGTTGCGTTCTCCAGTTTCTGCTGTAGGGGCACCTGGTGGAAGATCGCCGTTTTCTTTTCTTTCTAGAGATGAAATACCAGCAGCAGTTGAGGTGCGTCGTCGTTTGGAACAACAACAACGTAGACAATTTGTGCCACTGACAGAAATGAAACTACAGTTTGAGGAACGTCCTGGGAAGGCGGATTGCATATTAAGTAATCCTTCCATTGGAGCTGGAATAGATGATAAAAATGTTATTACAAATAATAACAAAAAACGACTGAGCAACCCTTCTCAAGTTATAGATGAAAAGATATCATTTCCTCCATCACCTTTCGGTGGAATAAGTGGTGACAACGCTGGTGATGGTCAACCACGAGCGAAGAAGGTACCGCCACCACCGTTAGCTCTTGGTCCTCTACAAGTGCGTCCACTACAGATGGCTCTTCCGCAGAATATGTCACCTTTACAAATGCCTTCGCCTCAGAAACCCGTAGGTGGATCTGTTCTACCTTTTGCGAGAGTAACAGGAAAGCAACTTGTTTCGCGAAGCAATAGCAACAATAAAAAGACCTCTATTTCATTACAACCAATGGCTGGAATTATGCCGGCTGTAATGGGTGTTAAAGTAGCACCTCAAACTCGATCAGCCACAACAGCAACAGCAGTAGCGGTTACAGGAGCACGTCAGGAAAATTTTGAAGCTCAAAATGACCTAACAGATGAGCCTCCCGTTCTTCTTGATATAGAATATAGTGTTTCAGCCCCACTTCAGGATGATGGAGTTAGACAGACAACACCAGTAAGATCAACATCTTTGTCATCACTTCCAGTAATTGTGACAGGTGAAGCTGTAGGAGGACATCCAGATGTGTCACAACAGTGGAGGAATGTTTTGGATAATAATGGAAGTTATAAGATGCCACACCGTGTTCCAATAACACAAGTACAAGGAACTGTGATCCATGAGAGTTTTGTATTTAATGAAAAGGATGATGTTCTCGCGGCATATCAAAAGGTGAGTGAAACACGTACAAGTATTCCAAGTACACTTGAGGTCCTTCGTAGTCTTAGAGATGATGATAATGAAGGGGCTGATTCGCGTAAAGGAGAACCCTCCGCCGCATCACTAATGTTACTGAAACTAAAACAACAACAACAAGCTAAGAATTCACCTCCTATTTTCCCGTCTGCATTACCAACCAGTCTACCTGTTCCTCTCTGTGTTGAAGCTATGGCTGCACAACCTCAACAAGAGCAACAACATTCATCAAATATCAGTAATCAAGAGGAGACATCTTCTTTATCACTGGAAGGAAGTAACAGGGACTCCGTAATGGAAGAAGAACGCCAAGCACTTATGGCATTAATAGAGAATGTCCGAGATGCTCGTGCCAACGATGATGGTGAACAGAGCGAATCCAGTATTACTTCAGTTGATGGTCATCATGAGAAATCACTTAATGGATACCTGGCAATGCTTGATCACCTCCGAGATCTTTTGCATCGTCGCGTACCGTTTACGGACATGGAATCCCAAGATAAACAAAAAGAATCAAAAGCAAATAAATCATTTCCGATACCACCTGTACTCAAAGAAGAAGTTCCGGTGACACTTGGACAGAGCGGTGTTTCCGTTTCTACTGATTTACCAACACCACGGAATTTGCTGAGTACTAAGCCGAATGGTCCAAAACAGGAAGTCCTCCATGAGGTGGAACTATCAGAAGGAAGAAAGGATAATGAAGTACTAGAAGAAGAAAAAGGAAAATATCAAATAAAACAAGAAGAAAAGAATAGTGAAGATAATTATAATACAGATATGGATGAGGAAGATTACGAAGACAGTGGTGAAGAGGAAGATGATGATGATGATGATGATGATGATGATGATTTTGAAGATGCTGTCCCGTTATCGCCAGTGCGCTGTGCCACAGTAAATGATACTTACCGTCGACTCCTACAAAACGCTGGTTTTATCCCTGTTGAAGTGTTGCCTGACAAACCTTGTAATGTAATAAGTGGTGGTGGTGGTGGTGTTGTTACTAATAATATTGACGCTAATGGTGGTGCCGATACTCACGGGGTAACAAATAGCTGTAATGATATTCTGGAAAACTATTCTTTTCTAGATGGAGCTGCGGGAGAGATAGAGAGTGATGATGACGGTGGCTGCACAATGTACATTCAACCGGTCGCACAGGAATCACCGATGCCTGATTCTGATGCTGCTGCTGCCGTAGAGAAAGAGAAGATGATACGGTAGCACTTACTTTTTTTTTTTTTTTTTTTTTTGTTTTTGGTGGCATACACTGTTTAGATATTTTTATGGTGTATCTCTTCTTTTATTATCTTTCTCTTTCTCTCTATCTGTGTGTATGTATGTATGTGTGTGTGTGTGTGTGCTTTTATGTGTGTTTCTTTTTCTCCTTCCTTCATTCTTTTTTTTTTTTTTATTTATTTATTTTTGTTTTGTATTTTTGGACTTGTGCGGAGTGGTTGTCTGATGAAGAAGTGTCATAGTGGAGGGAAAAGAGGGGGTATGACCTCTAAGAATTTGCAAACTCAAAGAAAAATAGAGGCCATAGAGAGGAGAAAAAGGTATAATAAAATAAATGCCTGTAGAGAGATGAGACAAAAGAATGCTGCTTCTGAATGATTGCATTTTAATGCTGTTGGATTTCTTTTTTTTATATATATTTATATTTTGGTTTGCCAGTTTTATATGAAAGTAAAAAAGAGAAAATTTTTTTTTTCGTTACTTTTCATTTCCTTTCTTCAATTAACGACATATGTATCTATCTATATATATGTAGTTTTTTTTTTGTTTTTGTTTTTGTTTTCGTGGGTTTATGTGTGTATACGGTTTTGTACGTTGATAATTTTGAAACGACAAAAAAAAAAAAGAGAAAAAGAAGAAAAACACAATAAGAAAAGGATACAGATTTGTTTGTAGTTGATTGGATGAGGTATTTCAGTTATTTAGCGTGTTTTTTTTTTGTGTATTTGTGCTTTGCTTAAAAAGCATTTAGGTATCTGTTTTCTTTTTCTTTTTTATTTTCATTTGCACTTCTCTATTTTTCTCTCTCCATTATTTGCTAAACTTTGTTATTGTTATTGTTTTTTTTTTTTCATTCTTGGTGATTTTGGATTGCTTAACTTAGGCACTGGAGTTTATTATGTGTATGACGATGATTTTTGTTAGTTTATTTTTCACATTTTTATTATCTCTCTATCTATCACTTACTATCTTTTTTCCAACAGAATCATGCACTGGCAGCATGCTTCATTACCACCCTTCTTTTTCCATATCTTATTTTTCCGAAGTAATTGAGGTACAGATTGATATATATATATATATATATATATATGTATTTAGTTACCTACTGCTATATGTTTTTAGCAGTACTCTTGTGCATTACCGTTTTATTGCCATTTTATGGTGTCTGGAGATTTGTTTTCTTTCTTTTTTGTTTTTATGTGATGATGCGGTTAAAAAACTCGTTTCGACTACTATGGACATGATGAGGAAGCAAAAAAAAAAAAAGGAACGAAAAAAATAAAAAAAAAAAAGAAGAGGAAATGAGTGACTTTACTTCTTATCTCCGCTTTCATGTCGTCAGTTTCCGTTTTTTATTTCTATTTTCTTTTTCTTTTTACTTTTTTCTTTTTTTTTCCTTTTTTGTTCCTCCATTTTTTTATTACTGTTTACTTTGCGTTTGTCTGACAATGTTTATCTGAGTGTTTGTGAGTATTCGTGCGTGCGTTACCACTACTCGAGATGTGATAAACTTATATTGACGCAAATACCATGGTGTAATACCATTCCTGCTTCTGGCGCCACTCCTCATTTGTGTTGGTCAAACAAGACTGTGAACATCACGCGTGTATGAACTTTTTTAAATGTTTAAAGTGACTATGACGATGCTAATATGATTTGATGGATTTTTTTTTTTTGCATGTGTTTTTCTTTTTCTTTTTCCTTTTCTTTGCATATATATATATATATATATATATATGAAAAGGAACAGATACCGATACGAGTAACCTTGGGGTTCTTTATATAGAGTTATTCACCAAGTGTTGTTGTGATAGTATGGAGCCATCGCACGGTGCAGAGAGTGTACCTCAAGAGCATCCCATTATAGCACGATGTAAACATGTTACCGACTCTCCCACGACCTCAGAAGAAGAGGTGGAAAAAGAAGACCATCATCATCATCATCATCAAGAAGAAGAAAAAGAAGAAGAGAGAAGGGAAGAGGATAAAAAGGAGAGATCAAGTATGAGCTCCTCGCACAGTATCGGTTTTTGGACTGTTGATTCCGTGAAAGATATGCCTTCCTCAAAGAAAAAAGATCGACGGAACTCAACTCGTAAGGAGAGGGAAGGGTCTTCACCCAACATTGTACAGATAGAAGATGAACACAGTAGTGCTGTTAAGAGAACAGCTTCAGCAGCAGCGTTACCACGAGCCTCAACCTCCATAGGAGTGCTCAGTCTTAACAGCAGTGCTGTGAGGAGTTCCTCCGTGTTGGAGGTTCCACTTCCACGTCCAAGTGTGCGGCGTGGAGTGACTCCAGATGGTCGACAAGCATGGATGCTCTTCTCTCCACGAAAGAGAAACAACAGTAATAAGAACAACAACAATAATAATAACAATAGTCACCATGCTGGTAATAGTAGTAGTGTTAGTAAAAGTGGACGAAGACGGAGTCATACAGCAGAGTCCACATTGGAGGATTCTGAGTATTGGGAAAAGAAGATTGTTGCCCCACCACCAGATCATCTCCCCAGACGTGTGTTAAATCTTCTCGCAGCTGGACGATTAAGTGCACAAGGCGGTGAGGGGACGAACAACACGCGAGTGGTGCGCAGTGGTCTTTCAGTGCCTCCTCACAGTGCAGAAAATCGAAAACATGTTTTATCTAATCAGATCAATAGTGTCAATGTACGTCCAGCATCTCGATTGGACGGTGTAGAAGTGAAAAGAACCTCTGATGTTAATTCTTTTACTGATGTGCAAGGTAGACGGGAAAAAGTTAAAGCTTCTGCAGAGAAAGTGATGCATGCGTTGCTACTTCCAGTATCTGATAAAGAAGATCATCATCATCATAGTAATTCTGGTAATGCTGATATTCACAATGTCTCTTTTACCAAAGAACTGTTTTCATTTCCACGTGAATGGCAAATGGAGAATGATCCATCTTCATTTTCAACAGATGTACTTTCAGTTGACACATCACTAAACTCAGGGAATTCCTCACAACATCGAAGGAACAGTCGCTCTAAAGAGGAAGATGTTAAACATAGTATTAAAAATATTTATTTGCATTCGGAAACGACACAATCACAGTCTACTACTCACTTTGTTGACATCCATAATAATATTAATAATAGTAGTAGTAGATCTACAAAAAACTCTCGTCATGTTACTGAAGATGATTATATAAATGCCTATTTCCATCTTAATCCCCTTCCTCTCCATGATGATCTTGACATTAATGGTTATACCTCATTTCTTATGAAGAATGGAGTTACTAGTACTACTACTACTTTTGCCACAACCCCTAGAAATTCCCTTTCATATGAAACGCAGTCCAATGGGATTCTTCCACAACAAAGAAAGTTTTCACACCTTTCTTCTTTACAATCGAAGCAACAAGAACGAGAAGCCGCTGGTAAATATGGTTTGTGGTGTACGGTGAATACTATGGTAGGAAAAGATATCACGGGAGGAACAGCAGCCACCTTGGGTAGAACTCATTCACCAAGTGTTATGAATAAGACTGGTAAAAGACGTACAGATATTCAAACACCACGATGGTGTATGCAAGTATGTGGAGGTGTTGTACCTCTAAAAGATCTACACTCTTTACACTCTTTAAGAGTAAGTGATGGCCGAAGTGATTCTTCTGCTTTAAGGAATACTATTGTATGTGCAAACTTTGAGGCTTTGTTTTTTACGCAACCTCCTGATAATCCTTTAAGTATGTTTGGAACTCCTCATCTTGAATCTGATGCGGCCGTTAGTACTCCACCTGTTTATTCAATTCCTCTTACACCCCGACTTCTTAACGCTTCAGAGGCTTCTCCCTATAAATGGATATTGATGCAGCAAAGAGATAATATTTTAGTACGTCATCAACAAGAAGAATGGTTTGTATTTGGAGGAAAGAATAGTAAAAATGAACTTTATATCTTATATACACAAGTTATTGTGAATAAGACACAAAAATATTCTATTAATGTAAGTGTACTTCTTTTTCCATGTCGACGAATACCTACAAAATATAGTCATCATAAATCATTCTCTACTGTTGAAGTACTTGAGGTACCATTATTCTATGGAGATGCCTTATCAGCTTCTACACGATGTGTTCATAGTGCTGTATTAACCTTTTCCACTAAAAGTGCTTTTCTAAAGGCTTATAAAGCGTTACTTTGGGCATCTGAAATAAATACAATGGAGATTCAAACTGCTATTAATGTGCCATTACAATTACAGAAAAATAACCATAATAACAGTAACAATAACAACAAGAACAATAATAATTCTCTTCCTTATGTATCTCTACGTCTCTTTGCGTCACGATTGCCACGATCAGAATCTTCTCACATGACAGAGTATCGCAAACGATCGGTTCAACACATTGCGTCTGTGATGATGGATCCTCATTCCTCTATTCAGCGTGGGAATTATCGCCTGGAAGACTTTCATCTCGAACCCGCCCACTCTCACGACCAGAGTCGTTCACGTCCTCTTTCTTCTCTTTCTCTTTCTTCCTCCACCACACATGTTTTCTCCCGCTCCATCGCTTCTGTAGTGGCTGTGGATGCTGGCGGTGTTGTACACCGTGTACGGCATTTGCCAAGTTTGCAGTGTTTTGATGTGCGTGTGCTGCCGCGACAGCAGACGAGATTATTGTGGGCGGCGGCGGATGAAAAAGATCAAGTTGGTGTGATGGAGGCGGCTCTGGTGTTGGAGTATCTTTCTCATATGCCCTTTCATAATCCCATAGTTGCAGTGTTGTCCGATGCGAATAAATTATATATTGTACAAGCTCCTATTTTCTCTGCACTTGTAGAGAATAGGGGAATGATTACGATTACTCCACAGGGAATTCCAATATCCCCTAGACAAGAACCACAATTTCACTATTTTGGGATTATACCACTCTCTGTGTTTATGAATCATGTTCTTCAAACTTTAAAAACGCCTGTGAATATCCGATGGAATTTGGCTCGCGTTCTTGCGGCTCAACTTTTACTAGCCATAATTACTTTACATGGTAAAGGAGCTCTCCTTGGACCTGTTTCTGCAAGACAGTTATTTGTACAGTGGAATCCGGTAGCATTTAATTCTTTTTTGGGAACTGTTGGTAACGATAATAAGGATGAAAAAAATGAAATTAAAACAAAAGATTTTCATTTATTGATTCAAGGATTTGGAGTTCATACAAATGCATGGAAGTATGAAAGACAACAGCTTGGTGTAATAGAATATATATCTCCTCGTTATCTTTTTAATATCGCTCATTTTACAGCAATGGACGAATCTGAGAGAGTTTCATGGACTATAGGAGATGATTATTGGTTTTATCTTTGTATACTTTTTGAACTCTTCGCTCCACAAAGTACGACGCTTTTATCTTTACAATCATCAGAAAAATATGATGAGAGGTCCACTTCAACTTATTTTCATGATTCTAAAGAGATTTGGCAATTATGGAAAGGTGTGTTTACATCTTATTCATCCTACCCTTTTTCATCCTCTGCTCGTTCTTCATCCCTTTATCTTGATAATGTTCATCATAATCATTATCATCATAATGGGATGAATCGTAAAGAAAGTGGGATATTAAAAGCATTACATCACTATGTTCATTCTCGACTTGAGAGTTTAGTACTTCCCAGTATTAATATTTGGATGGCAGTGGAAGAAGAGAAAAAGTCTGCGGAATGCACGTCAGGAGTTTTTACAGCCGTTAATGTTAAGAATAACAAGAGTGAATCTTCAAAAGCTATTTCACTTGCTGATGCCTATATTAATAATTTGCGTTCAAAAAAGTCACAAATGGATACAAAAATAAGGAGAGAAGAAGTGTATGATGAAGAAGAAAGTAAGGATAAAGAAGTAACACAAGTAGAAAAGAATTTTAATTCTACATGTGAATCCATGAAGTCATTGTCAAACTTTTGTAAACTACTTGTTGATAAATCTTTAGAATTATCAACAGTATCAGTGAATAATCATGTTCGACAAGCAGTATCTACTCTTTTAGTTCATCCATTTTTTCTGGATATTGATTTTGCCTCACTCTTTGATGGGGATTACATCATACCAAACGGATCCTTTCTTTGCAAGAAACTCTGTAATAGGAGGTTCTTGAGTGATGTCATTATGAAAGATCCATTGGAAACGAGAAGAGAATCCGTTTCTTTACGTAAACAACAAAATCCACAACGATTATTATCTCCTTCTGGAACGGAGGAACCTCCACATCTATGCAGATTAGCTTCTCCTTTCCCTGACGAAGGTGAAGAAGATGGGGGAGTCTCAAAGACATCTGGAATGAATAGCGTAACGACACCTCGAACGACATGGGGAGATGGGAAACGCATTTATACATCAGAAGAATTAGAAGATTTAAGACAAATTCGACAAGATGTGAGTCGAGGCGTTCATCATACTTTATGTACAGATACCACGGAAACACCATTCTTAACCGTACAGAAGCAAGAGCAGGAACCTATTCATAACCCTACGAACAGTCAGGTTCCAACATATACACCAACAGTTATTAAAAAGAATGAGGAAGGAATATCAATACAAGAAGAAGGGAATAATATGTATGTTTCAGCATGGAGAAAGTTAAGAGAGAGGGCTGCAGAATCAGCGGGAACAATAACGTTAACTTCTGAAACACGTGATTATTATCAACGCGATGTGGAGTTTCCATCTCATGTACATTCCGCAGAACCCAATAGGCGTAGTTCCCATCGTGAATATACTGTATCATCTACCAAATCTACCTTTGAACTTACCGATCCACTCTTGAATAGTAACAGGAAACATTCAGAAGAACAAAAGGAGGAAAAATGGAATACTCAAATGATTGACCTTAATGATAAGGATAATAAGAGTCATCATAAAGAACACCCAAGGCGAGAAGAAGTTATACATGTTACTCAGATAGAGGAAAGAGAATCTTTTATTTTCTCATCATCTTCCCCTGTGGAAAAGGAGGAACAGTCTATTACTCGACATGATAGACTGATTGAGAATGCACATAAAGATGAATTTAAAAATAAGGAAGAAATATTGGTTTCATCTAATAATAGTGAACGACATGAAGAGAAACAAATGCATCAAGAACATGAAAAAGAAGAAGAAGAAGAAAAACACAAAAAACAACACCAACACCGGTTTGGGATTAAAAATGATGATTCTTCTTCTTTACACGCATCACATGGAACCAAGCGTCACCCTGGTTTTCATTCTAACTATGATGAGAGGGTTAGAGGTGAAGAAAAATCTGAATATCCAATCAATTTACAAAGTCATCCATTTCCATCACGACTTTCATATGATACAGCAAATGAAATCTCTAGATATGAAAAGTTATCTGATAACACAAATGAGAAATTGACGTTATCTAATGAGAAGAAGGTTGTAGAAGAAAGAGGAGTAATACCATCGTCTACAAAATCTGTGAATAGGGGAAAAACAGATTTGGGATATGTCTCAAATAATAGTAGACTCAGTTACAGTAGTAGTTCATTTATGAGTTCAGCAAAGCCTACCTGGACCACAGCATCTGAAAAATATTTAGATAGAAAGCGAGAATTACAAAGAAATGAGATTGTTTGGGAACCTGTGGATGAAAACTATGATGATAGTGATGATAGTGATGATATGGATAAAAATAAAGAGGGTAGATATAATACAGCACCCACACATTACCCAGATGCAATGTAGATTTTAGAAGATCTGCTGATAATATATATATATATAAATGTATTATCTCGTTCTCATCTTTACCATCCTTTTTTTTTTTTTCTTTACGGACCCTTTGTGAATATACGTAGAGGTGCTGCAGTTTCAGAAACGGGCTTATTATTACCACTTTGTATACTGTTTTCATTTTCCTCTCCTTACTATTGTTATTGTAAGTTTTATTATTATATATTTTTTCTATTTTTGCAATTGCTACAGTATTTTTTTTTTTTACTTTGTACGATACAAAATTCTATACGATCCTATTCTTGCAAATGGGCATACTTGCATGCACATGTATATTTACGTAATTTATATAGTTTCTTACTGAATGACTTTGTAGTGTAATATATTTCTTACCCTTTTTTTTCTCTTTTCTTTTTATATATATTTTTGATTTTTTTTTTTTCTTTCGTTAGGGTAAATTTCAGAAGAATAACGAAAACTCTGGGTGATTGCACTGGGGAATTATCACCCACACTCTACTAGTACAGAAAAACTAAACGGAAGTTTTTTTTTTTTTTATTGTTTTGTTTTTTGGTTGATATCTTCACTTTAACTCTTCCGAATACATATACATAATTATATATATAAATATATATAATTATTTGCTCAGTGGTAACTGGTTTACTCTTTTTTTCTATAGAAAAAAAGAGTCAGTTAAAATGAATATAGATCTTTCACACAAGTTCATCTCTGAGCTGCGCTTTAATGTTCAACAAGTTTCAGAAGAGGAAGCACTCGTTGCAAGTCGCGTAGAGACATTAAAGGCGTGCCATAATCGTATTGGGTGTATTATTGGCCTTGCATCTCTTTTTCACCGCCTTACACACCTTGATCTCTCACACAATAAACTTGGTAGTAGTATCAACAATACAACTGTATGGCTTAATGAGTTACCATCTTCTTTACAGGTATTGAATCTCGCACATAATGAGATTAGGGGTTTTGTATGCGAAGATGTTATTAATCGTAACCGTGTTAGTTCTTCAGATCTATCAACTATGATACAAACATCTATAGCACCCTTACGTCGTGCGTTCCCATTATCATTAGCGCTTTTCTTTAATCGTTATCGATTTCCGCATCTCTGTGAATTGGATCTTTCCTACAATGTATTCACTTTAACACTTTCAGAAAGTGATGCGATAGAAGAAAACTGGCAGGAAATTGTAGAACGTCCTCTTGCTGCATCTACACCAGACGGAAATGAACGTACTGCATGGTTACAATATACCACATCCTCTATTTTAGTTCTCCGTCTAAATGGAAATTCGCAACTCACCGCTCTTAACGCGATACTATGTGGAATGGACTCTCTTACACATATTTATGCCAAAGGAAGCGGTGTAGCGGATTTAACGGCAGTTTCATCCGCAGCCACACTTTGTCCAAAGTTACGTTTCCTTGATATGCGTGAGTCTCCAGTGGTAGATGCCTTTATACATGCTCCGCGATCAACCATTTCAACATTTATCGAACTCTTGCTACTGCCTTCACTCCTTAAAGAGAATCAAAGGGGTAGTGATGAAAAACAAAAAAAACAACAGCAACAAAAAGAACAACAAGAAAAAAGTCAGAATGCCCTTCATCGTGTTGTTCGAGAAGTTGCACAGCGGCATATAGAAGATATAGAATGTGCTATTGCACGTCATCAGGAATCTAAAGAGATTAAACTATCGCAGGTTTTGTATGTAGCACTATTACAGCAGGTGATCCCGCAGGTCAAAGAACTGGATGCTGGCATGGATGTGGATACAACATATCGGGTATTCATGGATGCAGCAAAGGAGGTGCTTTTTCATTTCATAGAAAATAACAATAGAACAGGTATACAAAATGGTCCTGTAAGACGAGAGTTATGTAATTCTTCTTTAAGGGTTCAAGATTCTACAGGAGATAAGAATAAGAAGTGGAATAATGAAGAAGTGAAACAAAAATATCATCAAAAACAACAACAACAGCAAAAGCAACCATTGTATGGTGAGGATCAGACGAAAAGAAATACAGAGGATAGTATAGATACATCTTTCTCTTCACTTGTGGATCCTCCACGGAAAAGTAGTCCTATTGTCAGAAAACGCAGTTCTATGCTTCCTAAATCAAATGGTGTATCTCTCCCTGTTTCTGGACGAGAAGGACGAGAACGATCACGTAGTGCGCATGGTATGAGTGCCGCTGCTGCTGCAGCTACAGCTGCTATTGCTTCTGGACGAATTCGCCCAGCAGTACTTGTGACGAGTTCAACCACTAATACGAGCATTACGACTACTTCGGAGAATAACAACAATAGCAATAGTAATATTAATGGTAACACATTACCTTTAAGACGTGAACAGACAGATGTGGCAGTGCGTTCAGTAAACGCAAGCAGTAATAGTAGTAGTACTCTTGGTGTTGCTGAGAGCATTCGTAGAGCTGCACGAATTGACCAGAATGATGACACCTCTCGCTTAACACACAGTCGTCTATTACATCCCTCCCATACTACCATAACACATGCATCTAGTGGAGGAAACAACAACAACATCAACACTAATAATAATAATAATAATAATAATAATAATAATAATAATAATAATAATAATAATAATAATAATCATAATGATAGTAGTCATACCAATAGTAACACCAATACGAATAGTATCCCCAACAGCAGCAGTCATGGGGGTGATGATGAGAGTGGGATGCGCGGTGGTCGGTTCCAGCGGGCCCTCGCAGCCCTCACTCCACTCCTCTGGGAGCGGCTGGACGGCGACTCCCGCAAAGAGCGATTGGCCCAACAGGCGCGGGAGTTGGAGGAGGCCCTCGTCGCCTCGCAGGACCGCCAGCGGGGTCTGCAGAACACCGTCGCCGCTCTGCGGCAGCAACTCCAGCAGGACCGGCATCTCATCACCGATCAGCGGAAGGAGGCCGTACGGCTGCGGGAACAACTCGAACACCTCGCCACCGCCAACAAACGCACACGGCGAAAACTGCAGAAGCGGCAAAAGGAAATTGTGTATGGAACCGTGGCATTGCAGCGCAGGGAGGCGGTGGCGCAGCGCAGGGCCGCTTTGCAACAGTTGCAGGAAGAAGAAAAGTCACTTGAACAGGCAGAGCGGCAATTACGTGAGAAAGTGGCACTGAGTGGTGTCTGGTCACATCTGCAGCGTACAGACTCATCCATACAAACCGCACCACGTACCACAAGGATGGGAAAACCGAAAGAATTACGAAAAACACGTGCAGATATATTACGTGAAAATGCGGTACGAGAACGTTTAGAGGCTATGCGGAAGGATGATCCATTAGCATATAATGCTCGCCGGTTTCGTTTTGATGAATACAACTATGACGATGATGTTGAAGAAGGAAATAGTTTCACAGCAGATTCCTCCAGGGAAAACTCATTATTTCAGAGACATGAAAGATCTGAAAAAGGGAATCTTTTACTATTACAACAGAGGGCTATAAATGATGATCGAGAAAATATCCATTCATCTACCAGGCAGGATCCACGCGTTCATGGGAAAACTCCATGGCGTAGAATGCGTAGCAGTTCTACATCATCGCACACAACAAATGCAACTGAAAAAGATGAGGAACCACGTTCTATGTATGAGAAAGGACACAGCCCCTACAGCGACACTGATAACGACGATAATAATATGAAAGAGAATGGGAAAACTAAGAAAGATAGGGGCTTCCGCTCTTCATGGTTACAAGAGCTTTCTTTACAGCAACTTTTTGAAGAGGCTGCAGCTATGCGTAAGCGGCAACAAATATTACAACAACGAATGCGAGATGTTGGTGGGGATAGAAATGTTGACAGCACAGATGACATTGAGTCTGAAGAGGGCAATATACAACATCAAAATATCGTACGTACTGATGATAATGATAATAGTAATAATAATATTGGTTTTGCAATTGGAAATAACACTTCATCGACACGTGCTGCCATGGTACAGGAAGGGGGAAGAGGTCCTGCGTCGTTCCTTGTTGCTGGTGAAACTTCTTGGAGTAACTTTAATGACACCAGTAATATAAAAAAATATGAGGAAGTTCATAATAACAATAATAATATTAATGATAAAAATAATAATCATAATGATAATGATGATGATGACGATGACGATGATGATGATGATGATTCAGTAGATGTAGTTGTGTCAGTGGCGGAAAATGTGGCAATTGGAGATTTTATGGTCTCTCTTTCGCCTTCCTCTGCAAATAAAAATGAACATTTCATAGATTCTCATAATAATAATAATAATAATAATAATAATAATAATAATAATAATAATAATAACACCAATATTAATAATCATCATCCGCAGCAGCAGCATCAGGAACAGAAAATACAGTCTCCTCATCCCCAAATAAAGGAAGTAACGTCCGAAGAAAAAAAAGAAAAAGGTGATGTCTGCTCTTCAGCGGCTTTCCTTCCTTCCACGAAGGGACACTTTTCTGTAGATGCACAGAGCATATATGCTGAAATATTGCGTCAACAACAACAACAACAACAACAGAAACAACAACAGCAAAGTAAGAGTCCGGCACAAGTTACCAAAGTTGTTGCTAATGATGAGGGGGAACCATCACCAGTTATTGCGGCGATAGAAGGAACAGCAGATAGTGAAGATGGAAAGAAATACATTCACCAGAAGAATGTAGACGATAACGTTGAAAATAACATAGGTGATGAAAATATAGACCCAACGAGACGTGCTCTTTTTGCCTGATTTATTTAAATATATTTATATGGTGGTTGTTGTGCTGCGAATACTACTTTCATCAGGAATAGTAGCAGTAATATTAGTGGTAGTAGTATCAGTGAAAGAACTGGTGTTAAAACCAATAGAATTTCTTTGTTTTCATTTTCTCTTTTTTCTTTCTTGTTTGTTTATTTTGTTGCTTTCGTTCGTTCTGTACATCGTTAATATCTCATAAATTATGAGAGTTTGGGTCTCACTGTTTACTATCACAGAGACCAATCGCACCCAGGGCATTCTTGCTTGTGTGTGGTAACTCATTCGTCAAATAGGAACGAATTCATGTGAAAAAAAAAAAAAAAAACGTAAATATAATACATCTGTATATATGTTTCTGTGTACTTATAAGAAGCTGAAAGATGAAGGTTATGTCAACCTCATACTTCAAGTTGTTTCTTATGTATTTTTATCACTTTTTTTCTGATTTCTTTTCTTTTTTGTTTCTTTTTTTTTTTTTTCGAATTTCGTACAGAGGATTGTCGCACACAAGCAGAGGGTCAATAATAAAGAAACACAGACTTTTCCTCAAAGAGTTCTACACTGTGGCACCAAATTTATTAACAAGGAAAGTGAAGTGGGAGGCTTGGGTGCGAGCACAAAGGATTCTGAGAAGAAGTTTCATATCGTTTTTGGAGCACGACTAGGAAAATAAGAGTGTATCTCTTTTTTTTTTATTTTTCTGTTTTTCTTGTAGGTATTTTTAAATTGAGAAAGTCTTGCAGACAAAGAAAGAAAAGTATACAAGACTTTTCTTTCACACATACTCTCTTTTTTTATTTTGTTGTTGAACAGATTTCTATTATATACCTGACGAGGTGTTATTAAATAGTTTACGACAATGACGTCACATTTACCAACTGCTCAGAAACAACAACAACAACAAAAACAACCTTATGTGCGACTTTCATGTACTTATCAGGGTTATCAGGGCACACTAGAAGCTGATAAGCACGGCTGTAAATTTAACCATGATCTTGTAAAAGCAGATTTTCCATGGGATTCTGTAAAATCAATTCGAATAATGACGAAACATGTGAAGGATGTACCGACTTCTGTTTTAGTACTCAAGACGGCACGTCAAAAACAATTTTCTTCAATGTTCCTTAGTAATACAAAGCACTACTTTTATGGCTTTGACGATATTGTAGAAGCTGTGAGAGAACTGATGGAACTTAAGAATAGCGTGGACGGACTTGATGTAGCCCCACTAGGTGACCCTAATAGTCCTCCAGTTAACAAACCAACAGCTCCGTTGACGGGTGAAAACAGTAATAGTATATATACGCGACAAAACCCATCACCATCCGGAAATGCGAACAATAATCGTGCCGTTGATAGTCTTACCGCTGCAGGAAGGAATCGAGCAACAAATGGTGTTGGCTCACTTGTGGCTACTCCAAAAGATGATGATAATTTGAGTTCGGCCTCCGCACCACAGTTAAGAAATGGCGCAAACGGACGATACGATCCTGATGAAGAAACAGAAGGACGAGGAGGTGGAGTGAATATGCCGTTAATTATAAACAGACAGCGGCATGCAGAGCCAAGGGAGAGTATTTGTGTTCCACCTCAACCGCCACGTGTAGGTAGTTGTAGTGGAACACTGAAAAAAAGAGGTGGAAGGCAAGATATATCGAATGATTATCGATACGTTAGATGGGGACATAACCTTTCGGAAGCTCTCTCTTATTATCCCCGGGGATTAGCTGGAATTCTTTTGGGAATACTGATAGTAGTAGTTTTACTGTTATTGTATCTGCTTCTCATGCCATATTTCCTCGCTATAGGAAATAAACTTGGTTTACGAGAAAATTCACCACAAGAAAAAGTAAATCATGTTGTTCAAGGACTAGAACAATTACATCAATGGCAAAGAAAACATCAAATTGAGTTAGTTGAAGGTCATCCACATAATAAAAAGGATAATGAAGTAACACATATGATAGAACCGCCTTTAAAACCTCCTGTACGTATAACATTAAATGATATGACTGCAGCTGTTAAAGAACTTCTCGGACGGTATATTAGTGTTCAACGAGAAATGGATGCACTTCGATTGCGTCGTGTGCGTCGTGAACTTGGTGGTGGTGATACTAACTTTGAGGCTCGACGTCGTCACCTTAAAGGTATTTCCATTCACGATTCAACAGATGAAAATAGTGATGATGGACAAAAAATACATGATTCCGGTATTGATTGGCTTAATGAGATTGAAGAACCCTCACGTTCACGTAGATTATCATTAGAATCGGTTGCGGCTAGTTTACGTCGTTGGAGACGTTTTTTCCATACAGTTATTGCTACAATAAAGTGGGCTTTTTGGGGAAAGAGGAGTAGTAGTGGTAGTAGTTGTCTCACTAGTAGGAATCAACCATTAACCCAAGTTAATTGTAAAAATTATTTTTGGTGTAATAGTGAGGGATTTAATGAGAAACAAACTCTTACACGTTATAGTGAAGTATTACTTGATGGACAAGCTGTTGTGGAGGATGTCGTCAAGGAGGATGCGGAAGAACGCCGCAAATGTCTCTTTCTTTCACGTGAACTGGTGCGTCTCGCAGAGTTAATTGAAGAAATGTTTTTAGAGTATCAAGAGATAATTATGGCACCACAATATGAGGCATTCCTACGTCAGGTACCCTTTACATCATCATCATCATCATCATCAACATCGACAACAACAACAACAAGTAGTGATAATATTGCAGGTAATATGTTTGTAGGAGTTGGTAGTGAGGATGATGGAATGTTAACTGGTCAAAGCAGTTATTTATTACGTACTATTCTGCTTCGGAGACAGACACTCGCACTGTTAGAATTACAACCGTTGCTACTATGGAATGGTTTTCAGAGTGAAAATGGTTTTGGGCAAGAGAAAAATCGATCAACCTTATCACGTAATTCTTTTCCTAACAATAACAGTAGAAAAAAGAATGGAAATGATGAAACATTAAAAGAAGAACCTACAAGAGAAGATGTTGAGGCTATTCTACATGATTTTGTAGAAAGTTCAACCAGTAGAAATATTGGGGACTCTTGGACGATTCTACGAAATATTCTAGAGGAAGTTCGTTACTGGTACGATCATGAAAAGGATTGGCAAACACTCATTCTTTGGAAACTTAACACTACGAAGGAAAGTGATGCCTCTAAAAATGTATCAAAGACTTCCAAAGGCTCTAATGATGATTTCGATCATATTATTACGAAAGTACCAATGTTTCGTGGTTTATGGTGTTTTCTAGAAGAACCTTTGCAACCACGACATGTGAATAAAAAAGAGGAGGATAGTGCTTTTACCTCCTCCTCCTCAAATGATGATATTTCATCTGGGAATACGAAATCTGAAGTTTCAAAGGGAAAAGGTATAATAAGAATGCGAAGATGTGGAGCTGTAAATTGTTGTAATGTTGAAGAGGGTATTATAACACCTAGTGATCCTTATAATATTTTCCAGAAGGGATTGGAGATGTGCTCTGTTTTTCAGAAAAAAGAACAGGAATACTTGTCTAGTAACAACTTGAGAACTACCGTTGAGAATGATGCGAAAAGTGATGCATTTTCTATAGATGTTAATATAGAAAAAGAAAAACTTGAAGAGGAATACGAGGATGATGTTGAGAGTGGCTACGATGTGGCGAATACACATGTTCGTAAATTTGAACTTATGACACTTGATGTACAACTGCGGTGGGTAAATGCTTTTGAACTCTTCCTTCTCTCACATGATAATAAACAATCCACCTGGAATTGCAATGAAAGAGACGGTAGACGTGTGCAATTGGTAGAGTTAGCCACTGACAGTGATGAAGAAACAGCTGATATGAAGGAAATGTCTCAAATTCGTCGACGGCTTTTATCTGTACTTGGGAGAGCACAAAACCACTATGGACATCATTTGATGAGTGATGGGACTCTCACTTCCTCCTCCTCCGCTGCATTGATTGATTTTGTACGGGAAAGCGCTGAAAGAAGAAAATCCTCATGGTGGCGGTTTATTCCATTTCTCTCATGGTTTTCTAGAGATCGAACGGCAGAACCACTGCAGTGTCTATTAGGACGCATGCAGCCCGCAGATCCAACAGTACGGCGTATTTATAGAGATCTCTTGCGGGTTCCACTTGGGGAGACGGAAGATATTCCTTGGATGTTGTTGCATTTACTCAGCATTCCACCAGATATGCTGCGAGAATACCACAATGCGGGATCTTCCTTTATATTCGCCTCCTGTTTTCTATTCCTGTTTTTATTGGCATCTGTTGTGGGATTTATGTTTCTCTAAGTCTGTTTGATGGGGAAGTTATATTTCTTTTTTTTTTTTTTCTTGTGTGTTTTTATTTTATTTATTTGGCGATTTCGTAAAAGGACTATATATGAAGCTGATAGTGGTGATGGTAAAATGATGATTGCGTCTTTCTGTTTTTTTTTTTTTTTTTTTCAATTTTGTAATATTCTGAAGAATGAGCGATTGTGGGATTGTGTGGTGATGAGAGAAATAAAGAAAAAAAGTATCACAAGTAAGAACAGAAATATTATTATTATTATTATTATTATTATTATTATTATTTCTTTTCCTTCTTGTGTTTGTCTCATTTTCTGAATTTTTTTTTCCTTTTCTTTGTGTCAATCATACTCTATTGATTGTTGTATTAATGCTCTCTGTTCTCTTTGTAGAGAGCCTCATCGTGTGTGTGGCGGCACAGCAAAAACCTTCCTGTACCATGCGTCTGTTTATTATTGTTATTATTGCGGCAGTAATTTCTTTTTTATTTTAACTCTTTCCTTCTTAATTAATTAATTAATGAGTCATTACTACTATTACTATTATGATTATGATTATTATTTTATTTTATTTCTTTTTTCTTGTAAAGATTGAAGGTTTTTAAAAATAACAGTGGTTGAACGTTTATCACTCAATAATCCATAGAATCAAGGAACAAGATTAAGGGAAGGACGAAGCAAAAAAAAAAAAAATAATAATAACAACTTGGAAAGTAGAAAAAAATAAGTACTCATATAAGTATATATATATATATATTAGTTACACACATATATTCGGGTTTTTTTTTCTTTTTTTTTTTTTAAAAAAAAAAACTTACTTCTTGTGTAAGGATTATTGAGCTCGAATCATCATGTCTGCTTTAGCAGGAAGTCTGATTTCAACCACTCCGCCACCCATTGAGAATTGGGGTACACTCAAATGGACCACCAAAGAACAAGAAGTGAAAAAGACTGAAAGTGGTACCGGAATGGATAAAGTAAAACAGGAAGGAGATACTGATAATAAGAATGGTGTACTTGCAAACGCAAATTCTGATGTATTACTTCAATTGGTATCTACTCCAAAACCCAATCAACACAACTCTGGTGCCTCCACAAGTGGAATGGGTGGTGGAGTTATTGTACAGATTCCCGTTTCTACTATTGCGAGTGCGTCCGGTACAACAAAGAATGATCTTTCACTTGCACTGCGTCCACAAGCGTCCGTCACAACAATGCCAAACGGGAGCTCAAGTGTACCATTGGAACTCACATCTATTCGTTTCGCAATTCCTAATGTGTGTGTTGGCCATGAACAGACAGAAGAGGCGGGTCGTGAGATTCTCGCCGAGACACATCAACACATGAAAGAGCAACAATCTCGTCTACTTGGCAACAGTGCGGTTGCAGGTGCGGCGTCAGAAGATCAACTTCTTTTAATGATGGCTGGTGGTGGACGAAAGGATGAACGTGTGATTGGAGTATTGGATGATCTCACCTTCTCATATCCATCTGGACGGTATAAACTCATTGTATCTAACTATGCTCTTGTGTTAGAAGATAAAAAACGGTCGGCAACAGCAGGAGGAACTGGTGGTGGTGCTGTGGCATCCATACCTCTTACAGATGTGTTGCAATTATACTTATGTGATATCCCTGATAGTGGTAATGGTGAAAATGACGAAGACCTTGCGCAGTATGTTGTTTTAATTTTAAGAAATCCTCTTAAGATACGCACAACTACGTATAATCATATTGTTATTTCTTGCCCTTCAGGATTTTCACTTGATGAAGATCATCCATGGCGTTGCCAACTGGAGACACAAGAAGAAATTAATCAGGTCCTTACGAATATGGCACACAATCAGAATACTTTAACAAAAGAAGTAAAGAAAGAGGGTGAAGAGAAGGTATTAAAAAACACATTTACACCTACAATGTCTGGTCGCGTAAGCGAAATTCTTATTCGTATTCTAAAGGCAGTTACAGGTGCAACAGCTCTTGGTGGCCATAATAAAGAATATCAAACAAGTCGTGGCTACTCCGTACTGCGTTGTCTCCATCACGGCGCAGATGGTTTACTTTTTGTCTTAAACTCTGCTTTACTTTTTCTACACCGCCCCGTTACACGGGTATTATACAGCGAAATTAAACGTATTGAAGTGGATGAGTCAGAAAAGGGAAATTCAACGTTTCAGATAGCAGTATACGGTTCTTTTGGTCGACGCAGCAATACTTCAGGGAACTCATCTACAGAAGATAAACTTCTCTTCTCTGCTCTTGACAAGCGGGAGAAAACGGCGCTGCTTGCATACCTTGAAAAGAAGGTAACCGTTAGACGTGTTGGCGTCGTTGGTGAAGATGATGATGATGACGATGAAGAAGATGAAGAGGACGACGCAAGAGATGATGAAGAAGAAGAAGAGGAAGATGAAGAGGAATTTGATGAAGAAGATGATGACGATGATGATGATGATGAGAGTGATGAAAGTGGGGACGATAAAGATCGAAAAAGCCGTAAACGTGCACGCAGTAAGAAGCATGAAAAGAAGAAAGACAAAAAAGAAAAGAAGGAAAAGGGAAATCACAAGAAATCTAAGAAGGAAAAGGATGTGGGAGAAGAGGACTAAGTTAAAGTAAAAGATTGCGTGTATGTGACGAAGAGATGCTATACGCTCACTTCTTTATTGCAAAGAAAAATTGATTTGTTGGTTTTTTTTTTTTTTTT